AGAAAGAATGAAACGTCGCTGTTTTGCACGAAATCGGGCAGGTCCTCGGCGTCTGGAGTAGGCAGCTTGAGTGACAGTTACCATTAGCGTTACAGTAACTGTAACTGCTGAATAGCTGACGTTCTTGGTAACGGTAACGGATAAGCAGTTACCGTACAAGTTACGATAACGACCAGTTACAAGTAACCCATAATCCCAAAGTTTCAGCGCCCTGTCACTCAAGCTGCCTACTCCAGACGCCGAGGACCTGCCCGATTTCGTGCAAAACAGCGACGTTTCATTCTTTCTCGAATATTATTTGAGCAAAGAGCAACTTTCGGGAAAAGGATACGTAACTGTTGGTCGGCGACGCGGCGAATCCGATGGCGGAAGATTCAAGACTCTATCGATAAAGCTGACGGAGCCTATAGGTTTTCGCCCGGAGGAGTGGCGGCCCTGGGCTGGCTGTTTCCAAAAATCCATTTTTCGAAGTAGAGCTTTGAAAGACACTTTCCTAGAATCAGTTTTGAACGAGGAATTCGATGCCGTAACTTTCACAGGGTTCTATTGGAAAATGAAAAAACGACTGCGGTTTTTGGACCTTTTCAGTGTTTTCAGGATTTGAATGAAAGGGATTGTTCAATTTCTGAGGACACCAGTGAGCTCAGGACACATTTTTCTATCGATCTATGTGTGTTTAAACAAAATCTGAGATAGTGCTCGACCTTTGAATTACGCGCGTCTTACACGAGTTATATATTCACACTCGATTAATCTTTTAGTTAAGTATTTTGAACGAGCTGAATATACAGAGAAATTCTCTCGTACTCTACGATAAAACAGCCTCTAAAGTAATAAAACTGGTAAAACGGGCAATAGTTAATCACTTTTGGCATGTTATTTACATTACTATATTTTCTAAGTGAATCATCACCAATAAAGTCTGCTCAAGTTGGCAAGGGATCAGGGATTGTATTTTGTGCTCTATCATTGCCGGTGAAGTTGTATTTTTTAAATCTTTTTACCCTGGTGCACAATCGATGAGAAGTGCAGAAAATGCTTTTTTAAGATAGGCCCTTTTGACACGCATTTTTACCACAGATACTTCAGACCCTATCTCAGAATGACAACTTTGTTAAGCGTTTTCGATTTCAACTTTTGGTGTGAAAAGGTTTTTAAAACCAAAAAACAGTTTTCTATACTGGATTTTTAGGATTTTTTGAATATCTTGCGAACGGAAGCGTATTTTTTGGAAAAAAATTTACATCCTGAGATAGAGTCTGAAGTATCTGTGATAAAAATTTGAGCTCGATGGAACCATTTTTTCGAGGGGTCGTAATGTGGCCCGTAAACTGGAGTGTTCCAGACAACCCATAGAAGAACATCTCAGAAAATTCTGGGCAAAAACACTTCGATTTTCTTTTTCGATGTTCTAGCCCTGCTATAAATTTGAGCTCAATGGGACGTGTGCATTTGGCAACAAGGTGAAAAAAGAAGGGAGGGTACTCTTAAAAGTGAAAAAGCCACCTACTACGTAGTCTAAGGGGAAAAAGACAAACTGAGTAAGTTCTGAGTGAAATTTGCTAATTTATGTTGTCAAAGCAAAATTTAAGGAAGAAACCAATCCTATATTCGGGATCTACATACAAAAGTGAGTAACTCCAATTAAGCACAAGCGTTGTTGAATCAAGCTCTGCATAGTCATTGAAAGCCTTTGTTACCCTTACAAAACGTTGCTCTTTTCTTTTTAAGAAACAACTGGAACGTAAGTTTTTCAATAAAAATCATTCACAGGATCGGAACTGGAGCAAAAAAATCCTGGCAAAGTTCTCTGTTTTCTATATTCTTATCTTTCTGTTATATATATTAAATCATTTGAAAGAAATGTAATGTAACGATACATATGGAACGAGACGCTGTTTGTCCTTAAATATACCTTTCACTCTTGAATAATTCTCTGTGTACTATATTTTTAATAATTTGTGTAGCAGATGACTTATGAACCACTTTGTTTTGGAAAGTTGTGGGGTTCTGGAGGATCAAATTTTCGCCATTCGCAAACTGTTAGAAAAATTGTACCGAAACTCAGACGTTTCGTACTCTTACTCGCAAACTTTGTACGCGTATCTCTCATTAACGCCTCACTTTTTTAACACGATACACATAAACGGAAATAATCTGTTCAAAGTTGTATTTGAACAACTATTTTATCTACTGTGCTTAATATAGGTCTATCGCTGCTTGAGCAAGAAAAAAGAGAGATCAGTACAAATAGTACTCTTCGATCGTTCTAATCATACAGAATGACAGAAAAACAGCGCTCTATGTTTCATCTATATACAACAACAGGTTAAGTGCAATCTTTGTTTTTACTTTTAGCTGAGTTTCGTTCCTTTTCTTTTTGTGATTATGATAGAATAAAAGTAAGAAAGTCGAGAAGGAATGAAGCCATAAACGTACTTAGTCAATAAAATGGAAAATAAAAGAAATCCACGTATTAATAAAAGGCAAAGGTTTACTTTTTTCTTATCATTGTGTACACATGAGACATAGAGCACTGTGTTTTCTATTATTCGATATGATAAGCACAATCGAAGAATACGTTTTTTACTGATCTTTTGCTCTCTCTCAACTATCTTCTGTTCAACTATATTCTTGTTTTTAGTTTTTAAAGATGCTTACTCTTATATTATTTTCAATTATTTCAATTCTTTCTGTGACCTACATTCTTCTCAATCGAAAACGTTATCAATATTTCAAAACACAAAATATTCCTGGTCCATCACCTTCACTTTTTTTGGGCCACATGCAGACGTTATGGGCTGCTAAACGTCGTACTCTACAACTAGCCGAATGGACGAAACAATATGGCAAAATTTATGGTATTTTCGAAGGCACCAGACCGGCATATGTTGTTTCGGACGTTGATTTTTTACAAGAAGTGTTTGTCAAACAATTTTCAAATTTTCATAGCCGAAGACAAACGATTTTCGTAAAGGTGAACAAAGCACGCGTTAGTTTGTTCACCGCTACAGGTCAACAATGGAAACGGCAGCGAACTGTGATTAATTCCACATTTTCTACCAAAAAAGTGAAAGAAATGTCTCCATTGATAAATGACTGTGTGACTGAATTGATGAAAAAACTAGAAAATTACAGTGTTAGTCAGAAAGAATTTAATATATACGATTTATACAAACGAATGAGTATGGACGTTATTTGTAAGTTAGTTTTATTTAACAACTAATCGAAAACCTTTTTCTGCATTGTATTGAAGGTCGATGCGCTTTTGGGCTAGATACAGACATGCAGAATGACCCTGACAACTTGTATTTACAAAAATGTTCCCAGCTATTTGCCCCTGGTGTTCGAAGACAATTATTAGCGAAATTGAACGTGTTATTTCCCTTTTTTGGCCCACTTTTCTCCAATTTACTGTTATTACAAAGTAATATTCAAGAAAAGTTAAATCTGTTATTGCCATCATCAATGAGTAAGTTCGAAGAATTACCAAACGTGTGGATAATGGATCGAGTTGGTGAAGTAATTGCAAAAAGATCAGATGCGGCTAAACACAGAGTCGATCTGCTACAATTAATGTTGGAAGCTCTGAGTCACGAAAAAATACAGGTAGATGAACATACAGGCCTAGTTATTTTAGAGAATATGATTTTTTGTCCTATTAGGATTCACTAGGCGATGAACAATCTATTCCAAAAAAGTTAATGTGCGATGAAATAACAGGGGACTGATTGCTTTATGATGTACTTACTCCGAGAAGAGTGACCACTTTGCTGCGTATATCAAGCATCCTACTTGAATGTGCTCACCAATGTCTTCTTATTTATGCATGCTGGTTTCGAGTCAACGGCAATATCATTAGCTAATATCACCTACATTTTGGCTAATTATCCCGATATTCAACGAAAATTACAGGAAGAAATCGATCAACACTATCAAGCTCATGCCAATATACACAATCCGGATTACGATTTTGTCAATAATCTGTACTACATGGATTTATTTATCCGAGAAGTTTATAGAATGCATCCCGTAGGTCCGCTTGCAATCCATCGTCAATGTATGAATGAAACAGAGGTGTGCGGTTATAAGATAGCCAAAGGTAATTTCAGAGAAAAGAAATTCGAAGTAGATTTTAATTTAGTTTTCTCTTCATAGGTGCTGTCATACAAACAGATGTTTACTCCATTCAGAATGATCCAGAGTTGTGGGACGGTCAGAGAATTTTT